GCCCGCCTACAACAGGCTTGGGGGACCGTGTGCCGGGCATTTGGAGACAGAGGGGGAGGTGGCAAACCTAAGTTTAAATCAATACCTCCTCCTTCCCTTCCCATCTTGCCCCCAATCTTTCCTTCCTCCAACTTCGCCATCCCGGCTGGTCTCAGCCCCTCTGAGCTGCTCGACTCACCCGTCCTCCTTTCTTCTAATAATGTAAGCTGACAACACAAATTTAACTAACTTGATGCATTTATAATAAAGCCAGTCGGATTGGATCAAAAGATCAGCTGATGGATTTTTCTACTTTCCTCGCTGTTCAGCAGATGCTTTTTTCTCCAACCACTGGAACTTTTCCTTCCAAGGCAATCAATTGGAGAGGAATCAGTTCTGGCAGCAAGGATATCGATGTCAGGAAAGAAGAAAACATGGCTTACTCTGATTTCTCCTTTCAAACCCAAAAAAGTCCCTACAGTTTCCCACAGGTTTTGATCAACACCTTTAATTACCGAGTTTAAAAGCTAGGGAGTATCCTTTTTCTCAAGTCTTGTTTTTTATTTCTATTTTGCAGCAACTAGATGTTTTCAAGGGAAGTCAACAATCATGGAACTACCAGGAATCCACCATCAAGGCGGAAATTCCTGCTTCAAATTCATCCGAGATGCAAACTCTGCAACTGAACACCCAAGTCAACGGTAACAACAACATCATAAGAGATCAGAGGAAGTCAGACGACGGCTATAACTGGAGAAAATACGGGCAAAAGCAAGTAAAGGGGAGCGAGAATCCTCGGAGTTATTACAAGTGTACGTTTCCTAACTGCCCGACGAAGAAGAAGGTGGAAAGGAACATCGAAGGAGAAATAACGGAGATCGTCTATAAGGGAACTCACAGCCACCCTAAGCCTCAGTCCACTCGAAGGAACTCCTCCTCCTCTTCTTCTCAACAACAAATTCATTCTCTCGCCATCGTCGCCGTTGGCTCAGAGGCGTCCGAGCACTCTCATGGTGGGCGATTGGGTGCAGCCAATATGGATTCAGCTGCAACGCCGGACGACTCATCTATCTCTTTTGGTGAAGACGACATGGATTTGAGCTCTCATAGGAGCAACCTCGGCGGTGATGAGTTCGACGAAGAAGAACCAGAAGCCAAGCGATGGTATTTATCTGGATAGTAAAATCAATTGCTGTCTTCAAATTGAAATTGAGTTAAAAGGCTGAATTTTTAATTAAATGGATGCCCTTTTTTTTCTTGTTCGTAGGAGGAAAGCGGGAGAGAACGACGGCGCGTCTGCCGGCGGAAACAAGGCGGTGAGAGAGCCGAGAGTTGTGGTGCAGACTACGAGCGATATTGATATACTTGACGACGGCTATCGTTGGAGAAAGTACGGGCAGAAAGTGGTGAAGGGGAATCCAAATCCAAGGTAATTGAAACTTTTGCCAAAACTAAAAATTTTCTTAAAAAAATTTAAACTTTTACCCTTTTTTATTTATTATTACTATTATATCAACATCCATAGAACTTATACTCATCTAAATAGACATAATTCTTATTCCTCAATAACTCTTATTGGTCTTTTACAGGAGCTACTACAAATGTACAACAATGGGTTGCCCAGTGCGCAAGCACGTTGAGAGGGCGTCTCATGACCTGAGATCTGTAATCACCACCTATGAGGGGAAGCACACCCACGATGTCCCGGCCGCACGTGGCAGCAGGCAGCCAGAAGATAACAGCCACGGCACCACCACGGCGATCAGGCCATCAGCCATCTCGGCCGCCCCAATAAACTCTTTTTTTGGCCAAAGACCTAATAGCAATTTTCAGTCATCTCATGGATCCTTTACTCTTAACATGTTGTCTAACCAAGGGAACTATGGCAGCAATTACATGAATCAGCAGCAGCCTAATACAAAGGAAGAGCCAAAGGAGGATATGTTCTTGGAGTCCCTGCTGTGCTGAAAATGGTATAAGGTTTCAATGTATTATTTTATGCAGTTTTTCTGATTAGTAGGGCTATAATGTTTTTTTGTAGTATTTCAAAATAAATTTTTTTTTTCTATACCTTTTGTTTGATGTAAAAATGATGTATTGAATTTAAGAATTTGTTCATTTGTTGGGGACTCTGCTCCTTGATGTGTAAGAGCATGTCTCTGATTCGACACTTTTGTTGTAACTTGGAGAATACATACTGGATTAGGAACAGGGTTTTCATTCATGTTTTGATTTTGTTTTTCTTCAATTCATTGATTTTTGGTCTTCAATGTAAAATTATAGATTTGATTATAACTAAAACGGCTTTTCAATAGGTTATTTTGGCTCACGCTTGTACAATAAAAAAAAAAAATGCTGCGTTAATGTTCATGCTATGGTATAATTGTAGGGAACATTGCAGTACATTTTGGTCCGCTGCTGCAGTTTCTTGCTCTATCAAGCGAGAAATTATTCTATAGAGACACCGCATGCAGTCCGATCTCCACCGTCAATCACCACAATCAATTTTTTTTTTTTTAAAAAAGTTAAAAGTGGGGCCCACTAAAATACTTCTTGTGGTGATTAACGGTAAATATCGGACACCGCATGCATCTCTGCATGCAGTGTTCTTATAGAAAAATTTTTCCTATTAGGGCCAACTCTGCTTTGTTGGCGAGCCAATATCAGAATTCGATCCACTCTGATCATAAATTGTCGTCACCTAATCATAAGAAAAAAATAATTAAAAATATTAAACATATATTTAGTATAGGTTAAATTATTTTTTAATCTATTTATTTATGACATTTTAACCTAAGGAATATTTATCTATTTGCAGTACATTTTTACTTATTAATTATTTTGAAGAAAATTTTGATTTTTATATTTATATTATTTATTCATTTCATGGAAATTTTATCACTTTTTAAAAGTTAATCATGGATATATTTTTTATTTAGTTAATCATGAATATATTTTTTATTTGATATGAAATATTTAAATGGTAAAATATACAAATTAAAAGAGGTATTAGAAATATAAATTCAAAAGATTTGTTTTGTTAAATTTATTTAATATTTTATGCTAAATTAGAAATTTACATTTATGATTTTTAATAAAGTAAGGTTCTGTTTGGTATAGCTGTTGATTATTTATAATATGCTATCAACAGATTATTTTGAACAACTTACTAGTTTACTGGCAGCTGTTGTTGGATAAATGTAAGTGTCTGTTTAGTGCAGCTGTTGATCATTTATAGAATAAGTTGGCTTGCTGTTTGAGATAACTTATTCAAAACAACTTACTAACTTACTGGCAGTTGTTGGATAAATGACCATTTTGCCCCTATTTGGTTCAGTTGTTTGCAACAGAACTGTATGAACACAGAAACAGATAAAAAAGAAGCCACAAATCATTACAGGTGGTACCACTAGTAAATTTCAGTGACATGGGATGATATTATGTATATTTGCTTCTAGCTGTGAGACCAACAAAAGGAGAAACATGGTTCACATCAGCGTCTCATTCTTTCTACTTTTCTGTCTCATTTCATAATGTATGTGTGAGAAATATATTTCTCTTCTCGTTAGAATGCCACAGGTGGTACCACTAGTAAATTTCAGTGGCATGGGATGATATTATGCATATTTGCTACTAGTTGTAAGGCAAAAAAAAAAAACATAGTTCACATCAGTATCTCATTCTTTTCTTTTCTGTCTCATTTTACAATGTATGTGTGTGAAATATACTTCTCTTCTCATCAGAAAGCCACAAGTGGTACCACTAATAAATTTCAGTGGCATGAGATGATATTATGCATATTTGCTACTAGTTATGAGGTCAACAAAATAGAAAAATATGGTTTACTTCAATGTCTCAGTCTTTCTACTTTTATGTCTCATTTCACAGTGTATGTGTGTGAAATATACTTCTCTTCTCATCAGAAAGCCACAAGTGGTACCACTAATAAATTTCAGTGGCTTGGGATGATATTATGCATATTTGCTACTAGCTGTGAGACAAAAAAAAAAAAGAAAAATATGGTTCACATTAGTGTCTCATTCTTTATACTTTTCTGTCTCATTTCACAGTGTATGTGTGTGAAATATACTTCTCTTTCCATCAGAATGCCATAGATGGTACCAATAGTAATTTCAGTGGCTTGGGATGATACTATGCATATTTGCTACAAGCTGCGAGGCCAAAAAAAGAGAGGAAAACATGGTTCACATCAGTGTCTCATTCTTTCTACTTTTCTGTCTCATTTTACAATGTATGTGTGTGAAATATACTTCTCTCTCATCAGAATGCCACAAGTGGTACCATTAGTAAATTTCAGTGGCATTGGATGATATATTGCATCTTTGCTACTAGTTGTGAGATAAAAAAAAATAGAAAAAAGTGGTTCTGGTTCACATCAGTGTTACATTCTTTCTACTTTTTTGTCTCATTTCACAGTGTATGTGTGTGAAATATATTTCTCTTCTCATCAGAACGCCACAGGCTGTACCAGTAGTAAATTTCAGTGGCATGAGATGATATTATGCATATTTGCTACTAGTTGTGAGACAAAAAAAAAAGGAAACATGATTCACATCAGTGTCTCATTCTTTCTTCTTTTCTGTCTCATTTCACAGTAAATGTGTGTGAAATATACTTATCTTTTCATCAGAATGTCACAGGTGATACCACTAGTAAAGTTTAATGGCATGAGATGATATTATGCAAATTTGCTACTAGTTGTGAGGCAAAAAAAAAGAGCATGGTTCACATCAATATCTCATTCTTTCTATTTTTCTGTCTCATTTCATAGTGTATGTGTCTGAAATATACTTTTCTTATCATCATAATGCCCCAGGTGTACCACTAGTAAATTTCATTGGCTTTGAATGAAATTAGACGTATTTGCAATTACGTGTGAGGTCCAAAAAAAAAAAAACAAACATGGCTCATAATACTGTCTCATTCTTTTTACTTCCAAGCCTCATTTCAATGTGTGTGTGGGAGTAATATACTTCTTTTTTCATCACAACACTACCTGTTGTTCAATACACTTAAGACGGTTTCATCAGAACAATTCGAAAACAATTCAATTCCTACACTTTAATTTAAAATATTAAGGAAATGTCATAGCTATGTAAATAAAACATAGATCTCAACCTCCGAAAAAAAAAAACAAGAGAGAAGTGGAAGAAGTTCACAATTCCAAGGATCGCACCAGCGAAAGCATACGTCATATGAGAAGTGTTGATCTCCCCTTGGAGAAGAAGCAAAAAGGAAAATCAGGGAGGGAGAGGGAGAGGGCGAGGGAGAGCAGAGGGCACCTCCGAAATTTCTAGGGCAACGCAGGACGCGGGACACCGGGGCTTCCCCTCATCGAAGCCTTTTAAGAAATATCGGACGTGAACGCATGTGCAACACCAGAACGTTTGTGAACGTGTTTTTCAAACCCTAAAACGGCGTTTTGAAAACGCCGCCACACCACAATAAGTTGCCCAAGCGGGCCGTAAGTCTAATGATATTTAAAAATTGGAAAATTTTAATTCATTTTTAATTCTAACCGACAAAACATAATTTAGTTTAATTTTTGATGGAAATTAAAATAAAAAATTTATGCAATTTTCATATAAATCTAAATCTATTACTTACTAAAAGTAATAAATGAAATATTTTTTAAAGTTGTGGGATACAACGCAAGGGCATATTAATGGAGGGTTTAAGAATGGGATGACCCCTAAAACAACACACACAAAAATAAATAAATAAATAAATAAATAAATAAATAAATAAAGAAGGCGTTTATGGGATTCGGGGCCATGATGGCGACAATTAGAACGGAGTGATATTTTTTATATGAGAAGTTTTAGGTGGTAAAATAATAAATAATAAGTTTAAGTGCTAGATAGGTAAATAGAGTAGTTTTTTATGGTATTTATGTAGCACCTTAATAGTGCTGTTAATAAAATGATCATCTAGCTTATTATTTTTTTTCTTAACTATACTATGTTTTTAAACTCTGATAAAAATGAAAAAAATAGGTTGATATTTTATTGTTAATTTTGATATTTGAGCGATAAGTTTAGGAAGATGCAAATTGACAATTATAAAGACATAAAAATCAAAGAAATCTCAAAGCAATCCCAACAATTCTAGACATAATCTACCATCGAAATGAACTACAAAATTTTAGGATCAAGCTCCCACTATGCATTGAAGGAGCCAATTTAAGATGATAGAAATATATTATCGGTATCTAGGGGTGTAAACGAGCCGAGCACGAGCGAGCCTAGGCTCAGCTCGTGTTCGACTAGTTTATATTTTGAGCTCAAAAAGTGTGTTCGTGTTCGGCTCGTTTGCTTAGCGAGCCTAACACGAGCAACAAAGAGTCTTTTGGACAACCCTAATCACATAGCCATAAGATGTTAAATATTAAGGCAAGATTTAAAACATCATTTGAATCTAATTTAATAATTTTTATTCTATTTTCTTCATTAATATTTTTAATTGATTATAAATCTTTGTAGCCTTATAGTTAATTAAATTTTTAAAACATACTACACATCAAAGATATATATATAATTGATTATTAGCATTTCGAGCCAAAACGAGCCAAACACGAATGAATAAATATTTGTTCGACACGAGCTTCTTAACGAGCCGAACACGAGCTCTTCGCGAACAACGAATCGTTTTGACAGACCTATCAGTATCAAAAATAACCAAATAAAACGATTTTTATTTTATTAACGTGTTTAATTGACATAAGAGAATCAAGTACATAATCACAAAGTTATTAAGGAGCAAATTGGTATCATTTCTTATTTCTTATATTTATTTTTATTTTGAATTGTCTATAACTTAAATTTGAAATAAAATATATATAATATATTAAAAGAGTATTTTTTTATTAATAAATTGATTGAATTTTTAATAGTGAAATAATTTTTGGCGTGACTTATTGTGGAAGTTATTATTTATAAGGATATTCAAAATATTTAAAAAATATTTTTGGCACGTGTTTTAGAAAACAGCTGACTTAAAAAAAAGCTCAAAATATAATAAATGAATTTGTCTTAAACAAGTAAAGGAAAAATAAAAAAAAAGGTAGCTCCTTTATTTCTCTTAATGACAGCACTACAAGATTTTTGAGACAGCTTTCTTTCTTTAATTAAATTTGAAAGAACTTTATAGGTGAAATAAGAGATTGTCCATGATGTCTACTCAGTTATCGATATTGATACGTTA